GGGGGATAGCGGGAGGCGGAGCCGACTCGAAAATCGGCCGAAATGTGCATTTCGTGCCGAGCCCTACCTTGAACTATAGATTTTCAGTAATGATAGTGCATATTGGAACATGACCTAGTTACGTTTATCTCTTACTTTTTATTTACTTTTTTATGTTCTCCTACTTCTAAGGATTAAAAAAAGATAATGAGTAAATTAAATCCATTTTAAATTTAATCTACAGTGAGTAAACTGAAAAGTGGACAGTAAGCGCTATTGGATTTTGCATTTTTACAAAAATAAAGAAATTAAATGAGGCAATTTCGAATCAGTATATTTGCTGACATTTTTTTTTTTATGAATGCGTGCAATTATGGAAATTAGCAACAGAAGCTGTTTGATTAGAAATCCTTTTAATCCTTTAATTCTAGGATATGAAAATATCGCATAAAATAAACGATGCGAATTAAATTATTCTTGAAAACATAACAGCGCTCTGTAATCAGTTCGTATTTGTATGAAGTATGCGCAGTAGAGTCCCTATAATGAGAGTCAAGACATAAGACCGGCAAGGACGCCATTACTGTGCGCCGGTCGGAAACGGCACAAATAACGCGCGCCATTCAAAGTTTCTTGTTTTTTATCACAAAAAAATATACCGAAGTGAAAGTTCGGGGACTGAAATTACACTCAAATGTGGTTTATACCGAAAATTGGATGTTTACACTGATTTTGAGTGTCATTATTTCGGATCCCGAACATTACGTTTAACATATTTTTTCATGAGGGTGTTAATTTCTTTTTTATTTTTAAAACTAATGCTACATTGTTATAAGCATTGGTATTTTAGTACAAATTTTACTGTTCTTTAAATGTTATAATTATTAAATTATTTTTAATTTTTGTATAATTCTCGTATATATTTTTTAAATTGCCAGAAAAATTGGCTATCGACAGAAAAGTTAAGAATATTCGCACAATGTACCAACACGGAATGCACAAATTCTGACTTTTTATCGATTATAAGCCGATTTCGATAACCTTTAATGATTTATAGCAGAACAAGAAAACACGTAAATCTTTACATTCGACATATGTACATATATAGTGCTGAAATCAGAGCTTATATTCGGCGGAGATTTACTTTTTGGGCAAATACAGTAAATAATGCAATAATTGTATTATTGATATAAGAACAAAACAGTCTGATAAGAATAAAGAAAAGAGATGTACTGATCGATGTATCTCGTCGAGTTTGTATTTTTTGTTAGTCCAATACCATGAACACCTATAAAATGAAAAGATATTTTAATAGTACGTGGATATTTACATAGTACGATTATTTCAGACATATTGTAGGGTTCTTAATAGTAAAATATCATACATAACTTATCTGTAATTTTATTATAAATTACATACAAAAGATAACAAACATATGCATTTTTAATGATTGAATCAACGACGTAAAAAAATGAAAACAATCATGTAGAGTATTGCCTGCGAAATAAATATGCTTTATTCGCAAATAATCACAGTCAATAAAACAAAATCACAGTCAGTATCACAAACGTAAACATGCTAAGTAATATGCGCGGGAAAAGGTAGAAACGAAATGAGAGACAATAAAAGAACATATATTTGTCTATATTCTAAATAAAACTCAAGAAAATAAACTTCAGCTTTATGGAATGAAGTATACAACTAGTTTTCTCTGCCAAAATATCTACTAACTGTTCCCTCCACGAATCTATACATTTTATAATACATACAGCATATGACGAAGCTAAAGACAAGCAGGGTGTACACTTTTAGAATATCTGTTAGTGCGTAAAAATGTCAAGGGAAGCAAGTCGTAAAGTAAAATATGCAGTAATCTAGTGCAATGTTCAACGCGGATAATAATTACAAGACGTACGCTAATCAAGTCAGGTAAATATGAAACGAATCCGTCGTACTTTGAGCGCAAAAATCTCAGATCGTAATGTAAAACGCGGAGTATCACATGTATATTGCATGTTTAAGTTGTGCTCACACGGAAAATATGCAAATGGCACGTTAAAAAGAGTAATTGTATGCTTAATTACACAAACGCTTGAGCAAATAAACGACGTTATAACTGACCCATTACAATACCGAATGAAAAAGTACCGGGCCATAATGTCCTAAGAAATAATATTCGGTATACGAAATTGTCATATATGCTTGAAATTGCACATAATCTGAACCCAAAATAATACAAAAAAAAAAAGTACATCCGTACAAGAGCAAATAAAATAAAGTAGCGAGGACGATAAAAAATTAATTATTTAATATAAGAAATACAAATAAACTCTCGAGAATGTCAAAATATAAATAGAGAATAGGCTAATGAAAGTTTTTTCGTGGTAATACGCGGTATATGGATCAGATACACTGAGGATAACTCGAATGTAAGCCGAAACGTCTGATTTTTTCGTATTTAATAAATCATTTGCTCGCACGACTTACCGCGAAAAACTCTCATTAGCCTGTTCTCTGTTTATATTTTGTAAATATTTAATGTTGTAATGCATTGCTAAAGTTTTACTCCCGTAAGTAGAACGTTTGTCAACATGAGATTTTGACGAAATTTTCAGACGAAAGACAACAAATCGCATAACTATCTTCAATTTTAAATTATGGCACGATGGTAATTCATACGATATACCAATACACTCCTGTACGAAGAAAGATTTGAGATTCGCGATCTGCTGCAATCGAAGTGCATCGTAAAATGCTCTAAATTTTTTCTCCATTGCGAAAAAAAATTGAAAAGTAGGTTTGTTACGAAAAATAAATAGTTTTTTTTTTTTGTAATGCTTCAGAGTCGTCAATCTACTATAAACAAGAGGCTTTTCGGTCTTGGAGCCAATAAACCCAATGCATTTTTCGCAAGTAACTTGATTTTGTATTATACTCGAAACAATGTAACCCGCAACATTATATAAACTCTGACACTCCAGCGTTTTCAAAACTATTTGATTTTCATCAATTATAGATACATAAGGATTCGGAAGTTGAATTGAAGATAGATCATCGCATTTTACGGCATCTCCATTGCGCAGCACAGTCAGAAAATCAGACAAGTAATCGCGATCATCTTCATCGTAATTTCCACGGGGTACCGGCTTCATATATTAGGACACTGTTATCGTTTTTAAATGGTTTTTAAATTGTAGAGCATTAATCATGGAATGTTTGCTTCGGATTGCAGAGAAAATATTCTCGACACAATCTTGTGTAAATCTGCCCAATAACACAAATTCAAAACCACGTTTTTCAAATAAAAAAGCAGTTATTTCAATAGCCGAAACAGTTGAAATGATGACCGGTTTGGAAAGGTTTCCAATCTCCTTTCATCCCTATCTTAATTGTCGAAAACAGCTCTACAATTTCCCACAGAAAATCGATCACAGCTATGTACTTGTCCGAGTATAAATGCCCCAGAGCTAAAACACTCCTTCGATTGGTCATAATTTGGAACCATCTTGCGACCATTCCAATGAACCACGAAGTCGTTTTAAGTTCTGGTTCATTAAGTTCATCAGCTAACAAAGTTAACGCGGAACTCACATTATTACTAAGTACACTTGTTGCATTGTTCACTCGGATTAAAAAAAATGCTTTTTTTTCTCTAATAGTTCTCTTTTCAGTTTTGATGTTGGTTTAAGTAGGAAAGTGTCTTGCTCTGAAATTAATTTAGAAATATGCTCCACGGATACTTTATTACATGGCAATTCATACTTCGCAACAAAAGAATCGGGAATTACAAGAAATTCGTTGTTCAGAAGACCTTCCTTAAAATTTTTTAAGGCGTGCGGAGAATCGTGGAAGAAGAAGAGCTTCCTTGTTGGATTGAAACCTTTTCACATTGCTCGATTAGTCGAACCCGTATCTGAAACAACCCCATGCACATGTAAACCGATTTCTTCAGCTTTCTTTATAATTTGTACTATAATAGATACAAAACACGAACCGTCTACTGTATTTGGAGTGAAATAATATGCAACGACTTGCTTCCAACGGTGAGCAATCCCTGCGATCATAAATACCAAACCACGCGTGGCAACACCCGAATGATTAGGTAACGTCAAATATTCAATAACCCCATTAACTGACGGATCAAACTTCTTGCCGGAGACTATGCTCATTTCGTCAAGAATAATAATACAATCTCGATGTATATCGGTCTCAAATTGTAAAGATTTAATACGCAAAAAATTAAAAATCTCATCCGATATTCCGCTGTTAAATTTTCAAGATTCTAATTTCCTACTCAAAGTTCTTTCGGATGGGAGCGGCCAACCTTCTCTGATCAAATGAGTATAGCCCGAACTCTCGCATGTAAATTTTATAACAATTGGTTAACGTTTCGTCAGACCACTCGCGTAGTCTACTTTTGCTAAATCTTAATTATTGAATTTGATCTTGATATAAAATTTGTTTTAGCGCGTCATTATTTTCGAAACTATTTAATAATACCTTCATTTTCACGAATTTCTTAAACTGTCTCTTCTTCATAGCTGCGTGTTCTGCCTTCATCCGTTTCTTTGATTTCTCGCTCATCATGTATAATAATTTCTCTGCTTTTTCACATCTAGTTGTCAACCTCTTATTTTCTTCTATTGCACTTTTATATGTTTGTCATATTTCGCAGTTGCTCTTCCATTTCCGTTATCTTTTTTTCATACGCGGCAATTGTAGAATTCGTCATAATTTTTGCAGATTAGTTGCTCTTCCATTTCCGTTATCTTTTTTTCATGCGCGGCAATTGTAGAATTCGTCATAATTTTTGCAGACGAGTCTTGCTCATCAGTTGTCATGTCGGGAAAATTGTCCATAATCATCGTCGATGTAGCCGAATAATTTAGAGAGTTCTGCTCATGATTCTCATCGACTTTACCTCGTCGTGAAGATGACGGTATTACATCGGAACTGGTTAATGTAACGTCATCTACGAACAAATAATACAATGAAGTCCGACAACCAAGTTTGCATTCAAAATCGCATTTGCATCGGAATACTTAATACTTCGTTCAAAATACGTATTTTATATATAAAAATTTGATATTGTTATTAACATAATAAGTAGTCCAAAACGTGATTTTCAGTGCAATCTAAGTAATTTTAGTACCGTTAGTTACTTAAGAAATGAATAACTTATGGTCTTTTTTTCACTCCGATGTCAAAAGTTACTCCTGATGCAATTTTCATTGGATTGACATGAAATTTAACCAGTTTCTGGAGTACCAAATGAAGAAATTAACACGGGGGTTTTTCGAAATTCAAATTTTAAGTCCAAATTTCATTATAAATGATGATCATTACATTTTTTTATATAAAATTTTTTTCTATAATAAAATATATTTTTTTACTTAAAATTTGAATTTTGAAAACCCCCATGTTAATTTCTTTATTTGGTAGTTCAGAAAGACTGGTTAAAATTTCATGTTGAGCGGATGAAAATTCCATCGGGAGGAACTTTTAGCATCGGAGTAAGAAAAAAATATATTTTACACTTTTCAAAGCCATGGAAGTATATTTCAAGGAAAACAATCATAAAAAAAGAAAAAAAAAGTATGTCTGAAAATACTGTTTTTTAAAAATACTTTCGTAAAAATATGTTGTTATTTGCAATTTAAAAAACGTATGTGCATTTACCTTCATTATACAGACAGATTATATCCTTTCTGGAAACGTTCTGCTGTTTGGTCGTTCGAATGGAAGCTTCGACATGACCTGCAATAAAATATGACAACAAATTATATACATATTTAATAAACAATTTTTTACAATGCATAAATACATTTAACAAATTTTTATTCAAATTACTTGTATATGTGTGTTGTCGAGTTACGCACAACATTGCTAAAAAGTATTTCAAAATCATAATAATCATACACTTATGCTTTTTATGCAATTCATTTTACTTTCAATTGTGTTGTACATACTGATATGCATACCCTGGCTTTGGAGAACAATATTCTGCTGTCCAGTCCTTTGAATGGGTTCACAGAGGGTCGGTATCGCATTTCTTTTTAACTTTTTGGTTCCATCGACACGTATTTTTTCCCACATGTCTGAACTGAAGTGTTTCTGAAAGTAATAAATATAATCATTACAAGTTCTATAATTAATCTGTGAGTTTTTACTGAATACAGTATTTTTATTCAAAAAGAATTCCAAATGAAATAAGATTTGATAAATTTAGGAACTGATGACATTTGTTTGAGTATTACATGTTACCTTTAATTATAAGTCACATTTTAAAAATCAAGTCCGTAATTTTATGTGAATCTTAATAATGTTCCATATTTCTAATGTTTATATTTCTACCATAGTAGTTGCAACATTTGTATTTTAAATTATACCCTTTGCTTTCAAACTTACTAATCAAACTCTTGTTAATTTATCTATCGAATCTTCGTCAAATTATACATTCATTCAAAATAAATACAATGAACATTCTTAACTTGTTCGCGTTTATAGTGATGTACTTATTTTTCTTTTTAGACATTACTATGAAATTACATTACTTTAGAATTTCCTTTGTTTTCTTTGTTATCTGTATATATATATATATATATATATATATATATTTATATATATATATATAATGTCTTATAAAATATAATATTTAAACACAATAAAACATACCTCACATAACACTGAATCTTTTGTCGGATTCCAATCTGGTTTGTCCAGTGCTCGAACTGCTGCAATCCATTGGATTCTTCTATCTGGATCTTTAGGAAACACTGATGTTTTGTTCTCTTTTGTTGACTTCGTACCACAAGCAGCACACCATCCCATGATGACAGTTAATGGTACTTGTTCACTATGAAAAGTAATATACCAGGATCTGTGATTGGTCAATTTCTTACTCTTACTTCTTACTCCGTGTATTGTAGACGGGCCTTTACACCATGGGTAGTAACAGTAGTGGATTAAAGGGGAGGATCCCGTTTGCCTACAATCCCGATTGCACACACCACTCATATCAGCTGGTGTCTAGTAATTTTTCACTGCTTTACCAATGAGAATATTTTATTTTTAAATTAGTCATTTAGCGATGCATGGTGCAACATGCAATGTGTGCAATCGGAGCCTTTTCGGATTAAAGAGTAGGCGTAGAAATCGACCAATGATAGTTAATTATTTTCCTCACATTCGATTACGATTTGTTGACTTCTACGCTTACTCTTTAATCCACTACTGCTACTGCCCATTGTAGACGACGCAAAATACTTACTGTTTATAATTTCATCATGGTAATTCGATTTCACGTTCGCGCCTGGAGGTCGATTCCGTATCTTCAAACAAGGTGAAAACGACAAAAGCGAGCAAATTTACTAGGTGTTGACCAATGATATTATCAATATTCTAGTAAATTCGCTCACTTTTATAATTTTCACCTTGTTTCAAGATACAGAATCGATCCCCTGTTGTACTACTACACCATGAAACAGTTGCTCACACCAATTCACAGATTCACTAACACATCGAAAGCGCCTAGAAATGGCAGCAACCAATCACGAGGGCGTCGCCCCTCATGTCTTGACTCTC